GTGCATGTCTTAAAAGTTTTTTTCTAAATAGTTTCGTTCATATAAGTTAAAAATAATCTATAATTTTGGTCACGTTCTTATAGTAAACAGTCGTTGCTATGGCCGTTGCTACGTGAAAAAACTTATACCCCTGTGTACTTTCCTTAAATTTCACACTCATCTGGAAGGAAATTCGGCAGGATCGTTTCAAAATGTTTTTGACAAGTCCTCAAGGGTCTTAAGTCTTGTATTTCCAAGAAATTGAATTTTTCATGAACATCGCCATATTTTAGGGTACCATACCACCTTAAAGTGAGTCAAAATGCAAAATTTTCGCAAAATCGCGAAATTAAGGTGTCGCGAAATATGCGAACCTCAAAATCGCGCTAAATTAACGTGTCGCGAAAATTTCATGTAATAAGGTAGTCGCAGACGATCGTAACGATCGCAGAGCCAACTGTTGCATACATTTCGGACAGCGGAACTGTCAAAATTACACGCGCGTTGTGCTGGCGGGAAAATCACAGCAAACAATATGGAGGAAATTTTGCTCCAAGCAAATTTATTTCTTCTTTTAGTCAAACTATTTTGAAATTCCCTTGGCACTGCATTTCGCCCCGATCCAGAAGGTAGCGTTTTCAATCGCTTCAGATAACGACCATACGCAGTTCTTATGTTGCGGAATTTGACCTCCGCCTCAGCCGCCGATAAATTAAATTTCTCCCGATTTTTTCCCAGCAGTTAGCTTTTTTGATTTTGTCTTTGAAATCTATACTGTTACGGTGGTAAACGCACTCACATCGCGCAACTTCCTCCATAAATTTCTAGTTACTAACGTTACCTTGTTCAATGCCAGCCATGTTTACAACCGTGAATAAGCGGTTTTTTTTAAGAAGGGTTGAATCATAGGTCGGAATTCAAAATATTATGGGATACGTTTTGATCGCAGATCGCAGAACTTTGGTTTCCATATGATCGCACGATCGCAATTGATCGCAAACGATCGCCGAACTTTTTGCGATCTACGATCCGCGATCCGCGATCGTCTGCGATCATATGGAAACCAGCAAGGAAGCCTTTCATTTTGGTTAGTTTCTGTCCAAATTTTTGTTGCAAACAATTTCATCATTATACGAGAAATAAATTCCCAATGCAGGTAAAGAGTTGGCTGGCCAGACGATTCTAAGGGGTTTTGCTGTGTTTTTGCGGCTTGCGCCTAACCACATCCCTTAAGTTTTACTTTTATTTATTTCAAGGCTAGAACATTCTTGAAAGTTTGACAAAACTTTGAATAAATTTGTTGCAGATTTCGTGTCAGAAACGAAGGTCGTTGTGTCATCAACATATTGGGATAATTTAAATTCTTTGTCATGAATTTTATTCCTTTAATGGTATTGTCATTTCTAATAGTGTTGGCTAAAATTTCCCCGGTTAGAACAAAAAGAGAACCTGAGAGCGGCAATCTTGACGGACACCTGTTTCTCGTTTGAAAAACTCAGATGCGCATCCATTGTTGATAAAGCAGCTGGAGCAATCAGTATAAACAGTTCTAATCCACTTTTGAATACAAGGGCATAAATTAAAAGCTTGCAACGCCTTAAAAAGGAAGTCCTAATCTACTGTATCAAATACTTTTTTTAAAACAATAAAAATGGCCAAACCAGGTATACTTCTGTGACCTTCATGATGTCCATAATGAGCCTAATATTTTGACTGATGTACCGGCCTTTGACTCATATCCGGTTTGATCTTCCTTGATTATGGTTGGAAGAACCTTTGAAATCCTGTGTGCTATGGGTTTGGTAACGATTTTGTAGTCAACATTTAGTTAACTTAAGGGTCTCCAGTATTCAAGGAATGACTTGTCTTTCCTCGTTTTTGGTATCACTTTGATAATACCCTGTTTTTGCGTTATGTTCAGTTGTCCGTGTTTATATGCGTAGTTGAGACTTTGTACCATTTCTTCTCCCAGTAGAGACCAGAACAGTAAATAGAATTCTACAGAAAGTCCATCTGTCCCTGGGGTTTATTTTCGGACCACTGTTTTAATACGAGAAAGCACTCTTCGTTGAGAAGCGGACGCTCAAGTTCCTCTTGTTGAGTTGCTTCGAGTTTAGCAATATTTGAATTTTCAAGGAATAGTTTATAATTCGAGTCATTACAGGTTTTTATCGAACATTTTTCCTTGTTCTAAGATTGTTTTAGGATCGTTGATCTTCATATCGTCGTTTGTTTTAAGCTTTGAAATGTGTGATTTACAATGTTGTCTTTTTTCCATAATCAAAAAATGTTTAGTGTTTTTTTTCGCCATTTTCGTGCCAACGTATCCTGCTTTTTATTGTAGCACCTTTTGCTCCGTATTCAGCAATCGCATTATATTCTGCTCTGAGACGGTAAAGTTTTGATATGTTTTCTTTTTTTTCTGTCAGTTCTTAGCAGGTTCATCAAATGATCAATTTGTTGTTGGAGGTGCGACTCGGTATTCCGGCGTTCCCTGTTTTTTCGTTTTGTATATTGAACACAGAAACCTCTCGCCTCCATTTTAATCATTTACCAGTAGAGGCCTTTGTCATCTAAATAATCGTGCTTTGTTTTGAACTCGTGTATCTTACTCGAAAGATCCTGTACGAACTTTTCATCACTCATCTAACCTGCATTGCACTTTAAACGAGTTATTGCACCATGTGTGTTTGGGGTGCTGTAATCTCCACACACCTCGGAGGTCGAAATTCGTGCACAAATATTTGATTTTGTTAATTACTATCTTTTCTGTCAGTTGAAGTTCCGCCAGTTTTTTTTCCAAAGGTGCTGGAGCACAGTTGATGAATCACCTCCTATAACAATTTGCATATCAGCGTGCTTCCTAAGACTGTCACTGAACTTTGAGAAGAATATATTTCGACTGTTGTTGTCATTTTGGGCTGTAAATGTTACAAAACAAAAATGCAGACTCAAATATGGAAGCTTCTAGTAGTAAATATCTTCCGCTTTTGCCAGCTTCAGAGCTTTCTATATGTACATACAGTTTGGGGTTGAAGGAGATTGCAACACCTTTTGAATGATTAGTTCAATGACTGTAACTAAATGCTTCCTCCCCATTCAAGCGAGTTGCATGAACAGAGGGCTCAGCTCGGACACTAACAAAATAAAGTGCTAAAAACAGCCTGTCTTGAATCTGTAAAGCGTGGGAGTGGTTGAAACTCGCATTTCCAAAATCAATAGCACCAACGCTGTCAATTCATCGTCGGGTTATACCTGTCTTTTGTAGCCAAAATTGATTATCCCGCAAGTTTCCTGAACCATATCTGTCTACCTATCCATCTACCGCCCTTCACAGGAACCTTTCGTTAGGAACGCAAAGAATGGTTACACAAGAATGTCTTACACAATAATGTACCCAAACTCACAGCATAACCTCGTGTCCACTTGACTTTGGACACGTGGACACGAGGCAAAAAAGAACAAGAAACAGTCGAGAAAATTCGACAACGAAAAGACTACGACGAATCGACGAATCCTTGTGGGGTTCTGTCCTCGTATACCGGTTCACAAGAACCGATACAAAAGACCCAACAATGTTCAAGAGCTAAACAAAGGTTCGTAAAGAAAGGAGCACAATGGTTATTCCCTCTGTGTACCGGTACACCAGTACACCAGGACACCACCCCAAAGTGGATAGGGCAAAACTGATATAGTAAACTAATTATATGCCTCTTGACTTAAATATATCCGATCTGCAAGTTTTTTGTTCACTGAATTTTCGGTGGCATCTGTCTACCTTCATCAGAGTGAAAATGGATGTGTTTACGTGCTGGAACACGTGCGCAGAGTTAAAACTGGAACAGGAGTATAAGCGCGCGGAAAGACTTTTCTTTCATTAATTCACCGCGTTTGCGTCCATCGTTGAGTGCCACGACTCTAAAAAGTGTCTCTTGGTATAGCTTGTTATTCCTCTTTCGAAGATCGTGGCGTCTCTTGGGTGGATGTCATGATCAGTTCTATGCGTGTGTTGTTTTATCGCTGATTCTCCGTTGCACGCAGGCGCGGCCAGGATCATGTTCGGCTCCGCGTGAACTCCATGAGCGCTTAATTTACCCACGTATGTAAACGGGCAGTCGTTACATTTAACTTTGTAAACAATTTTTGGTCTTTGATGGTCCTGTGGCCTATCTTTCGGTTTATTAAAGATTTGGCCGAGCGTTCGTCATGGTCTGAACGCCGTACGAACCGAACACGATCCTGGTCGCGACAACCACCGACCCCTTCATGATCTTGAAGATTTACAATGTAAAAAAAAAAAAAAATGCGTTATGATAACTTTAGCTTAAAACACCGCATAAATTTAGGTTACCATAAATATGAAATATCGTGATTAATGATTAGACTGATTTTGATTTCTTCTTTCTTTCAGATGCGTAAACTTTTCCTTCACGACTACGATGCGAGCGGGAAATTATTTTTGGGCGGGCTGAACACTAAGACTATTAATGATGCCATTACGCTTCACCCTATTAAAGATCCTGCCTACATGTATCGTATGCACGTGCACTTTAACAACGAACGCATTCAAGATCTTCAACAGCAAGGAGTAAAGCTCCAACATGTTTTACGGAACATGGATCGTTTGCTACAAGCAAACAAATTGTCCCTTCACGAGAAACGTGGCCTTCAAGATGAAAGAGATCTTCATCATCAGTTGGCTACAAATAGCAGTGAAAAATGGGAAATGTTTACTTCCACATCATTTTACCCTGAGGTCAGCTTAAAAGCGCCATATACCAAGATCCGTGGCGAACTGAAAATTGAAGTCAACAATATTCTGGAGAAAGCAAAGGAATTTGTAAAGGAAGAGTTCTGGAAGAATCCACATCTTGGAACGTTGAAGTACCAGCAAATAAATTATGGTTATAGGCGTTTCCACCCCTTGTATGGCATACAACACGTCGTACAGGTGACAGTCAGTAGTACAAAGAAACATCGCAGCAAAACAATTGGTCAAATGGAAACTACTCAGCACATTTCACTCAAGAGAAGCTTCTATACCCAACAGCCGTTTGCAAATTTGAGATATACTACTGAGCCCCTTGCAAGGATGCCCCCTTATGTACACTTCATCGTCCCCTTAGAAGGGCGTCTGGAAACGTTCCGTCGTTTCATGAAAAATTTTGAATTGGTCTGTCTCAAAGTACTTCAGAGAGTCAAGCTGGTAGTCGCATATTCTTCTTCTGTGTCTTCTCCTCATGAACACAAAGTTATCATGAAGGAATACCAAGAGAAATATCCCGAAGCAGAACTTATTTGGCTTGACGTTGCGGGTACCTTTTCTCGCGGGATAGCACTTTCTGTCGCAGCAACTAAATTTGATCAAACAGCCTTGTTGTTCTTGTGTGATGTTGACTTGATCTTTAACTTGGAATTTATTGATCGCTGTCGACTGAACACAGCGCTTGGTAAGCGAGTTTACTTTCCAATAATGTTTTCTCAGTTTGACCCTGAACTAACATACGGCAAGAAAACCAAGCCCGACTCGCACTTCACGATTAATAAAGATGCAGGAATTTGGAGGTCATTCTCGTACGGACCCGCATGCATTTATCATCAAGATATGGATGCTGTTGGAGGATTTGACACAAGCATTAAAGGCTGGGGATTGGAAGACGCCGATCTTTTTGAGAAGTTTGTAGCTCATCCAGAGATTGAGGTGTTTCGCGCAGCTGATCCCGGTGTAATACATGTTTATCATAAAATAAATTGCGATCCAAATCTTTCCGTTATACAATACACTCAGTGTCAAGGCTC